TGAAATTTCATTGAATTAAATAATTTGCAATTCAACGAATTAGATTGTATACAAGGTTTAAATGGATTTTTCGATGTTGTGTGCCGGATTGAAGAAAATAGACAGCTGAATAAGGTGGATATTGAAGAATACAAACGCAGAAAAATTAAGAATTATTAAATATTATATTATTATTATTATAGTACACATACATATGCACATAAAATGCCATTATAAGATTTTAAATAAAAAAATTCGTACTGCTATTAACTGGAATAAATAAATTTACCTTATATATATAAGGAAAATTAATTATTGTAATAAAACATTTTAAACGTGAATTTTAGTGATTTTTATACAAACTTTTAAGAAATAAAAAAAACAGTTTCTCTCATTTAATTGCAAAAAGTGTGATGTGATCATACAAATGTGCAGAAAAAACTTCTTAAATATACCAAATAAATTTTAATTTTTGCCGAACCAAAGTTCAAAGTCTTTCGTTTCGAATTTGTTAATTTTACCTGCCAACAACGTACCGTTTAGTGTGTTTTTGTGAAATTGTGTTATTTTGCTGGAGAAAAAATAATTAAATTTTGCTTTGGCTGCGTGCAATGCACCAATAAAAAAGGTGAAAAGCAATCACACATCTATAAATCGATAATAAATAATTGCTAACATCAATTTTTGAAATTTAAACCGGCTCCGATTTCGAGTGGGATGATTTAGACGTTTTTTTTTTTTGAAACAAAGTGAAACAGGAATACTGAATGAAGCTTGAAGTAAGTACCCAAAAAAAAAGGAATTTAAATTCAATGGCATAAAAAATACAAGTAGTAAGCGCATATCGTCGTTTAAAATGCAAAACCGCGTATCAACAAAATGCAAAACCGCGTATGTGAGGTTGCATTAATTATTTTCTAGAGCGTAAAAACACTCGTATTTAAAAACGGTTCTCTTTTTTTTATAAAGCAATCGCATTTCTGGCTATTATATTTCAGGACGAATGGATAAGGATCGAGCCAAGAGCTTGTGTGAGCAATTCCAATTGTTGGCAGCAAATGTCAGATTGCAGATTGATGATGCGCGGCTTTGTACTTTAAATGACGATATATACCTATATTACGTTTTAAATTATAAACACACACCATATTGGCAAGTTTTAAGAATTTATTTTTTGTTATTTAATTTTAACTATTTTTTTATAAGAATATAGTTTATTCTTTAACAATAATTAAGAAAAAAATAAAAGCTTTTTAATTAGATTTCTTAGACAGATTTGGCTTTTACAGTTTGTATCCTATGCAATTTTAGTTAAATAAAGTATATGTTAAAAGTAGGACTTGACTTTCTATTGCGACGCGAAGGAAGTTCGACGAAAAAAGCCAAAAACCAATGGAATACAAAACTGCATATATACTCATACTCTCTAATAAATTTGAATTAAAAGTTAGAAATCTTTACGAAAGTTTGTTGGCCTTTTTTAATTATTGCAAAACGTTAATTTTGTTAAAAGATAAACTTTATTTCTGTTATAATTTCAAATAAAATTAAATTTAAAAAAAATGGATAAATCATGTCAATATGTGGTGCGTCTATAATTTTGAGACGGCGTATATGTAATAATAATAATAATAATAATACTATTTTGGCTTTTTCTATGTGGTGGTCATTTGGTGTTTATTAGAAGATTTTTCAGGGCTGAAATACGAGGGTATTTTACAGGAGACTATCCATTCATTTCAAATTTAGGTTTCCGGATTCCGCAGTGTTTTCCAGCTAGTAAATCTAGTCGATGGCCGCTCAACTGCGCGGCCTTGAACTCGCTCACGGTGCTCTAAAAGCAAGTTGGAGAAGGTCTGATCTTTCTATAGAGAAAACCAGAGTGCAAATACCTTTGACAACACGTGGACCACTTTCGGGAAGATGGATCTTATGTAAGCACTTCAATGTCTTTCCGGTGGGTGTTTGACAGGTTAAATATCTTACCAGATACTCACTGTCGCTGCAGGTAGATGACATGGAATCAAACCTCAAAATTTTCGTTAAGCTATCTAGTTTTTAAGAGGTTTCTTTCTAACTGCCTTGCATTGTTCCTTTTAACCAACCCTGAGAAGCTCTTCCATATTGACATCTGCTGCCTGTGAAACTTCTGTCCTGATTTTCGCTATAGCTTAGCAGCTACTCGTAGTGGCGTCACAAAATATTGACGACTATAATCCAATTTTGTGTGACAACATCAAGGCGCACGCCACAAATCGGAGGCAAGGCTCGGCCAAACACTAACATATGTGTA